GAAACCAGCCTTAGCAACTTAGTGAGACCCTGTCTCAAAATGAAAAATTAAAAGGGAGCGCATTTTCCATATTTTTAATAAGTGCATTATAGTTGTATATAATAGTGGGATTTGTTACAAATAGTGTACATGCACACAATATAACAATATAATTTGGTTAATATTGTCCCCCAGTACCTCCATTTCCCTCACTTCCTCTGCGGCACTGATCTCCTTTCTGTTTTCATGAGATTCCCGCCACGTCTTTTTTCCTTTTTCCTCTCTACCTTCCCCATGAGAGAAAACATATCACCCTCCACTTTCCATTTGACTGATTTTACTTAACATGTTTTTAAGTTCCATCCATTTCCTGCAAATGATATAATTTCATTTTTCTTTTTTTATAGAATTTATWTTAGTTGTAGATGGACACAATACCTTTATTTTATTTATTTTTATGTGGTGCTGAGGATCGAGCCCAGGGCCTCTCATGTGCTCCACCACTGAGCCACAACCCCAGCCCCTCCATTTTTCTTTACGAYGGAGTAAAACTCCACTGTGTACACAGGCCACGTTTTCCTTTATCCACTCATCTACTGATGGACGCCGGCTGAGGCTGGTTATGAAAGATGCTGGTGTAAACATGGGCTGYGGGTGTCACTGCAGTGTGGTGACCTCGGTTCTTCAGGATAAATACCAAGGACTGGCACCTCTGGTGATATGGTGGTTCCGTGCCTAGTCTCTTGAGGAACCTCCATTCTGATTTCCATAGCTGTTGTACCAACCAACGTCCAGTCCCGCCAACAGGTTAAGTGTCTCTTCCCCACATCCTCCCCAGCTGGAACTCTGCCTGCGCTCTTGATGACTGCCATTCTGACTGTCAGATGAGGTCTCAGTGTAGTTTTGGTTCGCCTTTCCCTGATTGCTAATGATGTCAGACATTGTTTCATGTATCTGTTGGTCATTCATATTTCTTCTTTTGAGAAGTGTCTGTTTAGCTCATTCAAAGGTGGTCTAGTGAAGTTGTCTGAGTCTGTATGTTTTCTGATATTCCTCAAGAGCAGAGCATCTGAATGTCATTGTGGGAAGACATGTGCCTGTGGGGCCGGGGATTGTAGCCTTGCTGTGGTATGCCAGGCCCAAGCATCCTCTCGGGGAGGACAGGGGTCCTCACTTCCCTACTCAAGGGACCCAGGCTTCTTGGGTCTCTGGAGTCACTGTTTACCACTGGGGACCACAGAGGCAGGAAGGACCCGTCACCTAAACTTGCCAAGTCCCATCTTCTGCTACTGAAGCACAAAAAYGAGTCAGCCTGGAAAGCAGGCCCTGGGGCTGTGGTTGTCACACCTGGGGACATTTTGCTGCTTTCCTCACTCCCCACCACAGCAGCATCCCATTTGGAGCCGTGCTATGGATTCTGTGAYGTGAGCTTTGTTTCCTCGGGTCCTGGGTCCGCTCAGAGGGCTTTCTCTGAGAACAGAATATGAGCATCCCCAGAGCCCTGTGGGTCCTGCCCCTGGGAGCAAGCCTGGGGCTTGGTGGGTTGGCAGGGACAGGTCTTGTCCTCCCTGCACCCGGGAGCGGGAGGGTTAACCTGTACGCTGTGGCAGGTCACCTCTGTACAGGGCATGCTGGGACTTCCTCCCAGCTGTTTTACATCATGAAGATTTGTGTGCTGGGGAAATTCCAGGGCACAGCTGCAATTAATCTGCTGCTGGGTCTCCAGGCGGAGCTGGTCTTGGAGGATGATTCTCCACCTCCCTGCAGGAGAGGGGCTCAGGTCTTTAGGGCAAACATCCTTCAGAGGGTCCCTTCCCCAGGCCCGAGTCGAGCGGAAACAGCCCACCTGGCCCAGTGCTCGTCCAAGGAGGGCTCTGGGGAGGAGTCTGAGGACAGAGGGGGACGTGGAGCAATGAGGAAATGAGGAGCAGCACCCTCTGCCTAGTGGGCCAAACTACACCGACAGYAGCATTTGACACAGATGTCACCAAAAGACTGGTTCACCCTGAGTTAGGAATGTGGAGGTGAAAACCTCCGGCAGTCTGAGGAGCATCCCCCAGCACGGTGCAAGAAGAGCGTGGCCAGTGGGGCCTCCCTGGGTGCCCCAGAGGTGCTCCAGCGTGGGAAACCCATCAGCCTTCCAGCTCCCCCGAGAGCCKGGGAGACCACAGGACGACTTTGGTGGCTGCTGAGAGAATTCAACTTTTCCAGTGAAAATAGGAACAGAATCAGCCTTCCTTAAAAGGTAAAGATGTGATCAGACCCTGGCCTCACATCCTGAGCCACAGTCCAGAGCTGCCCCCACCTGTCCATCACACACCTGGTGGCAGGCTGTGCAGCCTGTGAGTCCAGGCCAGCTGTGCCTGACTCTTGTCCCCTTTCTCCTTCCCATGTCAAGAGTCCTTATCTCATGTGCAGCACCCCAGAGGCTGCTGCCCAGGCTCTGCATTCTAGTGGGACTCCCAGGAGGGAGACGACCTGCCCGCAGGGTACTCCCCTCTCCCTGTGGGGAAGCTAGCCAGGAGCCAAGCCTGCAGGAACCAGTTGCATGGACACCCGAGGGCTCAGAGAATCCAGCAACTTTCCTTGGCCACATTCTGTTACTAGCAAAGAATCTGAGTTCAGCCACATGTCACTTAATCCCCAAGGACAGGAGCAATAGCTCCGTGAATGAGTGGCTGACCTTTGTGAGAATCACCAGCAGAGGGAGCTTCATCTCCTGGCCTTGGACAAGCCTGACCTAGGACCCCAGAACAGCCCCGCCACCTCGGTGTYCTCACCTGAGGTGGGAGGTGCAGTGAGCGCTGCCACTCCTGTTGCCCAGATGCTGGTCCTGGGGCGCTCACCACCCCTGCAGTGCACCTCTCCTCAGCTGCAAGGCCTCCCGTCCTATAGGTCACTGCACCCCACCCCAGCATGCATTGCAAACCCTTGAAAAGGCACACTGCTAACCCAGGACACGTCCTCTCTGCATGACACCCCAGAGCCAACACTACTATCTTCCCACACTGGGGGACACACCTATAAGGGACTGCTCTTCAGTGGTGGGCAGGGCTTCAGATTGTCACCCACCCTGCAGGCTCCTGGGACTCCGGTACACTCAGCATGTGAGTCTGGACCCGAGGGGAGAAGAGGCTGGGGTGGTCTCCTCCCCCTAAAGTTCAAGACCCCGCATTAGATGGGTGAGACACCAGGCACATGGCAAGCAACCCTAGATCCTAGCTGTTGCCAGAGCCCTTTACCATTAGGTGCGTGTTCACACGCGTGTGTGTGCCTGACATCCCAGAGCCTGGCAGACAAACCCCATGGGTCTCAGGGAATCGGCATAGCCTCCCTGCCCCGGGGACCTTTGGCAACGTCCAAGACGTCTTTGGCTATCACACTGGGCAGGAGGCTACCACCCTCYAGTAGGTGGAGGCCAAAGCGCTACTCATGTTTCAGCACTGTCGCCTACGGCAGAGGGACTACCCAGCCCAACGCCAGTGGTGCCAAGGCTGAGAAACCCAGTACTGCTGCCAGCGTCACTCAAGACCCCAAGCCCTAGTTCCAACCCAGACTGATCTCAGACTCCCTGAGCCACGCCTGTGACCTGGCTTGTGGCCTGAGGGCTCCCTTTCCCTGTGTCTCATGCTGGCAGGCTGGGCCTTCTAACACCGATGTTGGATGGTTGCTTCCAGGATGCGCTAGCACACAGCTGGTCCTTGGGCAAAAGCTCTGGTGGCCTTGAGCATAAGCTCTGGTGACCTCGAGCATCCCCACAGAATGCTGGTGCTTGCATGTCCCCTCACGTCTGGGTGGCAGCAAGAAAGCTGAGAGACCCCAGCAGAGCAAAGGAAGCGTTGGGATGGGCATCGGCATCGGTGCTGTGAAGAGTGTGGGGTCTGGAGTCTGCCCCTGCCCCAAACTGATGTGTGAATGGGCTTTGAAAATCGCAAATGAGGCACTGGCACCGTTCGCTGGGGAGATTTAACTACTGATGACAGTATTTGTCCAGTGCCTTCACCTTGCCATGAGCATTGCAATCCCAGTTAATTTGTTCAGGAAGTGTGGGTTCTGGGTAGGACAAGGTGGGCGGGGTGGGAAGGAGGAAGAAGATGGTCAGCAGGAGATGGGGATTGGGCTGGACTCCCTGTGCAGGGCTCCGAGGGCCCAGCCTCTGTGCCCACCCCACAGGTTTCCTGAAATTTCCTGGAGTCACCACTTCCTGTCAGAGCTTCCRTTCTCCAGGTGGCTTTGAGAACCCTGCAGGGAGGCTGCCTTGCTGGGCTGCTGCCCCAGGCTACCTGTCCTGGTGGAAGAGGACACCTACTGAAGGTCTCCCTCCTGCTTAGCCCCCACACTGTCCCTCCCGCACAACCTGCAGTCAAGGACAACAGCTCCCCTTCAGATGAAGAAACAGGCTCCGAGTCACATGGCAGGTGGACAGAGGAGAAGCCCTGTGTGCTGGCCTCGGAGTCCAGATGGCTCTTCCCAGGGACCCTGCCTGCTGCCCGCTCTCTGCTCCAGGCCAAGGCTGCACCACCCCAAGTGGAGGGAGACTTTCCCTGGAATAGAGCACTGTGTACACGCATGTGTGTGTGCATATGTGCACGTGTGTGTGTTTGTATAGGGTATTTACTGCTGAGTTTGAGTGTTTTGCAGTGACACAAGGTGGGCAGGTACTGGTGATCTTTTTAAGGGTGAGAAAACCAAAAAAAGCTCAGCAAACTCTTGGATGATCGAGAAACCCCGTGGGCTGCGAGTTTAGCAGGTGGTTTTATTCATTTGTTCACCAGCTACTTCTGCTGAGTTTTTTCTTCGGGAGCATTGGATGAAGCTGCAAGAGATGGGAACAGGCCGGCAGGATGGCCACCTGGGGGGCCTCTGCTCCTCAATGGGACCRGCTTGTCCCATGACTGAAGCAGAAAGGGCTGGGGGCTGGGATGCATGGCCTCCTGCACCACAGGGACCCCACCGCAGGGCTGCTTCTTTCTCACTGGGCACCCCCCTCACCAGCTGTGTTATCTTTCCTCCCCATGCAGTACCTGCACATGAAATGGCCCCTCCTCGATGTGCCCCCCAGTTCCACAGTCAAGGACACCAGGTCGCCATCTCCCGCACACTTGGTAAGTTCATTCCACCCTAAAGCACTAAAGGGGCCCCCAGTCCTCATCCAGTCCCCTTCTCCCTGCAGCTCCGGGAAGCTGACGGGGGCTCACTGAGCTTCCTCCAGTGCAGGGGCACAGTGGGGCTGACAGTGAGGTCGTGTCCTCTCCATGCCCTKGCACTGTGATTGGCACACTGATGGGCCCCTGCTGCTCACCTGGCTCCTCTGARATACCTGTCTCAGATCCTTGCCAATGCGCTGGATCCTGCAGCTAGGTCACATGGGCAAGGGGGTCCTTTCTGACCTATTGCATCTCAATCAGAACCGCCTGGGCCTCTTCTCAAAACCACMGCAGGAAATGATCCACTAAGATGTGTTCACAAAAGCTCAGTGGGGTCCAGTCTAAGCAGGTTTCAGCTCCTCAGGAGATGCGGGGGCTGGTATCCAGGGCAGAGCAGATGCTGAGCCTCACCCTTACCCTGCTATTCCCACACTTGAGCTCCTTGAGTCCAGGCTCCTCACCATCAGCCAGAGGTGGGCCTCCACACTCTGAGTCCCAGAACCTCAGAGGTGTAGCCAGGGACCTGCTCTGCCTCCACGTRGCCATGGTACAGATTGGAGACCAGGGCTTCGACAATACCCCTTGCTAGCTGTGAGGCAGGCGAGGTGACAGGTGGTGATCGGGAAATCTCAGAAAATTTTAAAGACACATGAAAGTAGAGCACCTTATATAAGGAACCCCACACCCACCTACCACAGAGTGCCTCAAAGCAAACTCAGGCACAATCCTTCCTCTCCCAAGACAGGTTAGGATGCGCTGCTAATCCTCCCTCATCAAAGTCAGTCAGCCTGAGAGAGGATGGATATACAGAGAATGGAATGGTGGCGCTGTGAGCCTGTGCAGCTTCCAGCCCTCTGGGACAGCCTGCAGTGTCAGAGCCCAGCAGTCCCCTGTCCTGGTAGCATCTGCATCTGGGTCGGGGATCTGTGTAGGGCCAGTGAGCAACCCAGACAGCCCTGGCATGCCCACCCTGGTGACAGAGCAGCCCATTGAAAAGCTCTCGGGTTAGGCCAGGCTGACAGCTCTGGCCCSAGCTAGCCCCAGAGTCCCTCTTGGGGTGATGAACATGAGGTCCGGGTGCCCTCTAGTGGCCTGAGTGGCCTCAGTGGAGGATTCCACCCCATCTACCCACCTACTGACTTTCCCCCTGCCCAGCCATCCTGCCTCCACCTGCTCCCAGTCCCCTGCTGCAGATCTGAGACTTCGGGGCCTGTTCTTCTCTCTTCTGTCCACCTAAGGTCTCTCAGCATGTTGTCGCTCCTTGGCTTCACTTATTTCTTCAGATACTGGGGATTGGACCCAGGAGTGCTGAGCCACATCCCTAACCCTTTTTATTTTTTATTTTGGGACAGGTTTTCACTAAGTTGCTTAGGGCTTCACTAAGTTGCCCAGGCTGGTCTCAAACTTGCCAATGCTCCTCTTTCAGCCTCCTGAGTCACTGAGATTACCAGTGCACCACCATGCCTGGCTCTGGGTGCTTTTAAGAAGACACGATTTCCCTTTAAAAACTGACACATGGGCTCCGGGTTTCCCATCCTTCCTATTGCACAGAACAACCCATCTCTGAAAAATCAAGGCTTGTGCTGTGTCCTGCCCTGCCACTGTGAGCAAGAGGCTRTTCCCTCCAGTCCTTGCCACCTTCCCTGGCTGTGTGTTTTCTCTGGGCACCGCTGCAGCCCGGCTCAGCCCTGCCCCTGCCAGCTGAGTCCCGCCCCCCCCCTGCTTTCGGTGGTGGCATCTGAGAGTGCTGGCTCCTTTCTGTGCTTTTCATTGCCCCTGAGACGCTGTGTCATTCTCCCATCAGTTCCTGACTTTTCTAGGCTTTCGTTTCCTTTCTAGATCCTTTGCCTCCAGTAAATCAGCTCCTCACCACTAACTGTCTCAGGGTAAGTCAGAAAAATACATGAAACTCCTGAACCTTCCAAAGATTCTACCCCCGAGGTTGCAGCTGCACACACCTGGCCGCTGCAGAGTGAGCTCTGCTGACAGCAGTGCCCCACCAGCTGCAGAGGGGACCCTCATTTTGACTGAGAGCAGAAAAGCACCAACTGTTAATGGGTGTTGCACTGTGGTCAGGCCTAGCAGTGAAGCATCCCTCAAAGCCCACGGGGCTCGGGACCTGAGGGCCTTTGCGGGAGGGGACCCCAGYGTTACCTTGGGACTCTGTGCTTGGAGCTTTAGAGTGAGAGCCGCACACTCCCAATTTGAGGGCGCGTGCATGGGAGGAGGATGTGGGCCAGGCTGGAAACACAGTGGCTTTAAGCCTGCCCCACCGCTTTCCTGGGCAGCTTCAGGCATATGGCATCACCTCTCTTTGCCTCAGTTTCCTCATCTACTAAGGGGGGCTAGAGGGACCGCTCCAGAGCTGTTGTGTGAAGTGAGTGTCCTAATGAGCTCAGCTTCAGCCTCACAGAGTAGGTCTCATCCCCAGCGCTTGCTCCCACATGGGGCTCCACCGCCAGCAGACTAGACTGCCACTGCAGTGTTAAGAAATCCATCCAAAAGGGAATGAGCAATTAAAAATCCCGGTTAATTAGCTAAACTAAGAGGTAATGCTCGCCTGAATTAGGCACCAGAACAAATGGACAGACAGCAAAGGTAACAGAGATAATGAGCCCATAGAATTCAGCTCTGATCCCCCAAGGACAGGATTTAATTGGTCTGGGGTGGGGCTGGTGTCCTAGGGTTTTAAGCTCCCCAGGGAATCCTAAGGGATCCTCAGGGGCAGCCAGAACTGAGACTCTGCAGGGATTGCTCTTTGCAGGTGGAGGCAGAGTGGAGGGAGGCCCCGAGGCACCCCAGCCTCCTGGGCAGGCCTCTGGGAGGTGGCAGGTTGGACCCTGGATGGTTTAGAGAAATTAGACACTGGATGATGGGAATTTGCTAGAGAATCAGGGGTAAAATGGTTTAATAAGAGGTCTGACCTGGGAAGGAGGCAGATGAGGAAAACTGCCAGGTATCCAGGGAGGCTACGTGGGTCAGGTGGGGTGTCCATGAGGACTTGTGCATCAACCGGCTATTATCCAGAGGGCAGCTGGAGTTCAGTCACTGCTTCTTATATTTCTCCTGTTCTAGGCAGCTCTGAAAACCCAGGAACAAGGATATTTCATAAATAACTATTTCCAGTACAGGATCACTAACCTCGCTGCTCACAGTTTATCCACCCTGTGGACAGACCCTGGCTGCTGCGGGTGCTGTCCCCTGCCCCCTCCACTCCCTCCCTGGAGCACTGTGCCTGGCCAGGCCTTGCCAACACAGGCCCTTCCAGCATACAGCCAACAGAGACCACATCAGGCTCAGTTCCCTACCCTGCACCTGTCAGGTTGTCCAGTGAAGGGAGGGCTGTGTTCTGGAGGCCAATGCCCCAGTACACCCTCTCCCCCCAGCCCTCAGGTCCTTCCTCCCTTTGGTTCACAGCCAGGTGGCCATGGCCCGTCCTAGGCAGTCCCCAAAGCCTGACAGCCTTCCGTCATTTGGCCCTATCCTTTTCCCAGCCCAAGAGGTGTTGAGATGGTCTCTGGGCCACAGGTCACACCCACGATCTGCCAGGCGACTGTCCAGCCATTCCCTGGGTGTTCTCTGCAGAATACCCTGTCTCCCTTTTTTTGCCATAAGAATAGGCTGAGAATTTCCAAATCTTCAAGTTCTGGTTCCTTCTTGAATAAAAATTCCTTCAATTTATCTTTCTCTCACGTTTTACTGTTAAGTGGGGAAGAAAAACCAAGCCACACCTTCAGCACGGTGCTTAGAAAACCCCCTCTGCTAAGTTCTCAAATCCATCACTCAGAGCTCCACCTGTTACACCAGAACACAGTACCCTTCCAGCCAGGTCCTGGCCACTGTGGAGCCAGTGTCACCAGAGTCCTGCCAGTGTCCAACAGCATGTCCTGCTTCTGTTTCTGAAGCCCCACTAGACACACCTGCCACCTCCATGTTTCCCTCAACAGTCAACTTAAGACACACACCCAGCCCTTTTTATCTTTATGTGGTGGTGAGGTTTGAGCCCAGTGCCTCACACGTGCTAGGTGAGCGCTCTACCTCAGAGCCCCTCTGTGCTTTTTTGAGTAAAAAGAATATAACAAAAAAAAAAAAATTATAAGAACCAATTAATTATAGGTTGAAAATTGGGGTTGGGGTGTCATTCATTATACTTTTTTGTATTTTCCAAAAAATGTTTTTGGAAATCTTTGCAGAATTTATAAATTGTCAGCTATTTCCTTGACAAGTGCTGTGTAACAAATGATTCCATGGCTTGCAATGACAAGTGCTTTTTTCCCCCACCCCCTAATTTTTTGTTGTTGTTCTTGGGTACCTGGGATTGAACTCAGGGGCATTCCACCACTGAGCCATATTCCCAGCCCTATTTTGTATTTCATTTAGAGACAGTGTCTCACTAAGTTGCTTAGCGCCTCACTTTTGCTGAGGCTGGCTTTGAACTTGTGACCCTACTATCACAACCTCCAGAGTGGCTGGGATGACAGTCGTGCACCACAATGCCAGCTCTTATTTTTGTATTGGTGCATTAGAGTTGTACATAATGTTGTACATAATGGGATATGTTGTTACATATTTATACATGCACACAATACAACAATAAAATTTGTCAAATATCTCTCCCCACACTTCCAACAAGCACTTCTGTTTCTGGTGTATGAGTCAGCGGAGTGGCTCTTGTAGGGTAAGAATAAGATTCAGCTTTCCTCCACGTGGCTTCCAAACCCGGAACCAGTGTCTGCCCCTTCTCATGTGGCAGACACACAAGAAGGAAAGCATCTTTAACACTTCCTGTCACCTGCTCATGTTCCCCTGGTCAGAGTGTTACTGCTGTTGACTGGTGACGAGTCCTTGCTTCCCCAATGTTGAAGAATAACACCAGAGAAGCACGCYGAGGCAAGGTCAGAGTGGAAAATTAGAAGTTTATTAAAGGACAGCAGAAAAGACTTCTCCCGAAGGAAGAA